TAAGAATGTGGGTGCCCAGGGAGGCAGGACAGAGGAAAACGATGCATAGATAAACAAGGAGAAAGAAATATAGAAATTACAAGTGAAAATAAGGTAACTTTTCACCAGACCATTGAAAATCCTACAAGAACACCTGAATTGGGGACTTACATTCAAGAGGGGAGGTGATCCATAGAACTGATAAGGAGATGAAAATGAAATGAAAAAGAAATAAAAAGATGTGGCGTTGTGGGTCCACCCAAACCTAGAGACATTGATTGATACAAGCAAGAGTTTGACCCAGAGTGAAACCAAGCATTGATGAAATAGTTAGGAGAAATAAAAAGAATACTGCAATAGGAATCTATTAGGGGAAGAGGCAGAAACCATATGTAAGACCTCAACTTTGGGTATGGCAGGAAGGAGGGAGAGACAAGGAGGAATGTGAAGGAAAAAATAAATCATATTTGGAAGTAGCAGAGACTCCAGCTCCCCTTCCTCATGGCAGCAAGATTATTCATGGCAAAACTCATGATAGGTGAAGAAGGAAGACATGAGGTTTTGTGCAAGAAATGCCAGATCAAAAATTGGCAGCTGTGTCCATTTGGTGCAAAACTCAGCGGGTTTATATGTTTGGAGCTGAGAGCAGTTTAGAAATTTGACCCAAGAAGAAATAAAATGGCCTGAAGCTTTGCAGCAAGCACTATAGCTTCGCAGAGATGAACAGAACGAGCACATTATGGAATGGGGGACCAGGAGTGAGAGTTGCTTGCTTATTAGACTGTTCATCAGAAAAAATATTAGATGTAAATAAAAACTGTAAAAAGTTCACAATTAATGGTGGGATAGTAATAATAATAATATCCCAGAGCAGTTTAATTTTATCATTTTTCTATGAGAAAGTCATAGAAAATGATAAAATTAACCTGCTCTGGGACTTCAGAATTCAAACAGACAAGCACTTGCAACATAACAACCCAGACTTAACAACTGTCGATAAGAAAGACAAAAAAGTCTGGATAGTGGACGTGGCAGTGCCTGGAGACAGCAGAATAGATGAGAAAGAACTGGAGAAGATAACAAACTACAAAGACCTACAAATAGAAATAGAAAGACTGTGGCAAAAGCAAGCAAGGGTAGTACCAATAGTCATAGGCGCCTTGGGTGCAATCCCAAAACAACTGGAGCACCACTTGAACACCATTGGCATTGACAAATTCGCTATTAGTCAATTGCAAAAGGCGGCCTTATTAGGAACTGCTTCCATCCTGCGACGATACCTGTAATACCATCAAACATCCACATTGCCTATCCCAGGTCCTGGGTAAGGACTCGATAGGTAGACAAAATGCCAAATCCAGTCTGAACATCTGGCTGACTGTGCGATGATCGATAATAATAATAATAATAATAATAATAATAATAATAATAATAATAGGCTCCTTGGGTGCAATCCCAAAACAACTGGAGCACCACTTGAACACCATTGGCATTGACAAATTCGCTATTAGTCAATTGCAAAAGGCGGCCTTATTAGGAACTGCTTCCATCCTGCGACGATACCTGTAATACCATCAAACATCCACATCTGCCTATCCCAGGTCCTGGGTAAGGACTAGATAGGTAGACAAAATGCCAAATCCAGTCTGAACATCTGGCTGACTGTGCGATGATCAATAATAATAATAATAATAATAATAATAATAAAGTTGGAAGGGACCTTGGAGGTCATAAAGTCCAACTCCCTGCTCAGGCAGGTAACCCTATACCATTTCAGACAAATGGCTATCCAGCTTCTTCTTAAAAACTTCCAGTGATGTTCTTTTACTTATCAGATGGCCTAAAAGGGTGGAAGGAGTCAACTGTTAGAACTCCCCCTTTGATTGGCAGCAAGCTTGATGAGTAAATAATCCAAGAGCTACAAGAATTTCTGCTTGGAAAATCTCTGGGGGATTCAGCTCACAAAGCCAGTACATAAATTGTTCAGCCTGTTTATTTACCACCAGGGTCCCTAAATACAAGGGGTTATGCACATGCATCCCTTTCCCTTTTTTCACTTATGTTTAGATCTTCCTTCCGGAGATCCCTCACTTGCCTCCCCATACTCACATGTTCCTCCTCTTCTCTTATAAGGCAATCTACCTCTAGCTTGCAGTGTGTCCAACAGGCTCTCTGAATGCCCATTACTGCAACAGGCCCTTCCCTCAAGACATTTTGCATGTACAGTCTTCTTCCCATCCCTTGCCCAATTGTCAGACCTGGTCTACACAGTGGCAGCAGAATGAAATGGTGGGAGTGATGGCATGCCTTTATGCTGCTAGTTGCAAGACCCTCTGCAGTTAATAAGCAGATACACATGTAGTAAAAATGTTGTAAGGGAGAATTCCAAAATGACACTAGCCTACCTCCCTGTTCAGGATGCTGCCACCTCATGTTTAACCATATAGATCAAGCTAATCAGTCCAATTAGAAATACCTTCTTTTTTATTGCAACCATCACTTCAACATCCCTAAAAGCTGCATCTTGAAAGCATCATCATCATCATGACACTCTACAGAGCTGCAGGAGAACTCTCTCTCTCTCTCTCTCTCTCTCTCTCTCTCTCTCTCTCTCTCTCTCTCTCTCTCTCACACACACACACACACACACACACACACACACACACACACACATTTTTTAATTTCTCTAATCCCCTGCATACAAGCCACCACCAATTCTACATGATGGCTTCGAAGGATCTCTGCATTCAGCATCTGTTCTGTCACATGTTCTTCCCTTGCTAATGGCAAAGGAGGGAGGGAGGGTTGGCAGGCAGAGGCTTTTGATATCAAGCAATACAGCCAAATAATGGAGGAGAAGGCTTAATTTCCTGAGTTACACTTTCTTTTCACCTGTATACTGAGCTGGGCTGGCTCTGCCTGACAGGCACAAATAATTTGGCCAGCAATATGTATGTTTCATGTACTTGGGAATCCACTTTTGTCTTTCTACATTCATATCTGGAGCAAATGGAACAAGTGGGAACTTCCAGAGGGAAGGATACTGTGAATCGTCACCCATATGCAGCAAAATCCTCTAGGCTTTGCTTTGGTGCATAGCAAGGGTAGTTTTCTGAACATTTTCACAGTCAGTTTTTTAAAAGCAAGCCTTTCTCTTTAGTGGCTGGGAGTGACCACAGAGAGGAAAAGGTTTTTTAAAAACTCTGGCCACAGGTGCATTTTGATGCTGAACAATGAGATTTCTATATAGCCATTGGACCTCCCCAAGACTAGCAGATGCAAGAATATCTGATAAATGCAAATATATACACAACTTTTACAAGATTTATGTTCACTAAGTAATGCAGTTCTGGGTCTTTCTAAGGCATGGCTCTCCAACTGAGCTTTCAGCACAGAGGGATAAAGGATCAACAGCTTTCCCAGGATGCTTCCCTATCTAAATGTTGGTTTTGAGCTATAAAACCTTATATATGGTGCTGGCGCTTTTCGAATTCAGGAGGGCTATTTTGTTAGGTGTGCTGTGCTACTTTAATGATCCCTGTTGTTTTAAATTGATTGTTTTATGATATTTATGATGGTTTTATATGAGCTGCTCAAGATTTGTAGAATTGGGCAGGATATAAATTATGCAAATATATAAACTGGATTATGACAGCTTGATAGCAATGCGCCACTAACACAAAACGAAACCTAAACACATGCATTATTTTTTTTCTGCAGTTCTGTAAAACAATGAGATATTTTTAGGCTACCTTTGTAAACAATTCTGAAAAAAATAATATTTACTAGCGGTAGGCCAGAAATGTTTGTTTACTTTACAGATGGAATAATTAGTGAACTAGTATTTACTGATTATTTTCTGCTAATTTACATTCAAATAAATATTAAATTCTGAGGCCCAAAATGTTAATAACTGGGATTGCCCATCAAAATAACTAAGTGGATTAGGTGGCCTTTCCCCCACTGATTCCAGAGTGGACGTACATTACCTACTATTTCTTTTCTACCAGTCCGAGACCTGACCTGACATCAGTTGCCTGCCAAACTATCAAACTATCACTGAGTTCCTTGGCACTGCTCTGAGAGGCCATGCCCTCCTTCCAGCCAACTCATCTCATGCCTAGATTCCCCCCACCCACCTCCGGGGCAAAGCAGCTGCACAAAGTAGATCGGGGTTTGATTAACAAATTATTAAATTAAAAATAATTCATGTCTAATGCAAAAGGGGTTGGTAAATGATGGCGGATGTCTTGGGTTAAGCTTTCTTCGGGGAGGGATGTTTGCTCTAACCTTTTTACTCTCTCGTAGAGTGACTGTTTGCAAGTTCCCCTTCCACTGCAGGGTTTGTGACTTATGAACAAATCTGATTCCTGGCCTCTCCCCTGCCTGCATCCTCCCCACCTCTAGGCTTTGTTAGGAATTAGCACCAGAACACCAAGCAGATGGTCCAAGCATCCTAAGGGATTCTCTGTTGAAGAAATAAGATTGCAGGATCTTGATAAGGCAATCCTACATGGGTCAGTACAAAAAAAAAAAAAGCAACGGAATTTGATGGAATTGAAAGGCACATTTAACTGCAGCCTATATAACCAACGCAAAGAAAATGTAGACTTCCCAATTTGACTATAAGACAGAAATAGGCATTCTTGGCTGAAGTCATAGGTTATACTGTATTAAGAGTACCTTTCAAAAGTAACTTTACATATAGAAGTCATCATAGCATCAGATAAGAGGTTATGAATAATTAAAAAAAACATTTCATAGCAATAGTATTTTCAAAAGATCTCATAAATCTGATCTCAGTCATCAGCATCATTTGCCAGAGGTAATACCATTTTAGGACTGCACTGACACTTAAATTGACATCTTCTTAGTCACCCTTTTAACAACCCCACTATACCATCCCTCAGCTACCCCCTTGCCACCTCCCCAAAACAAGGACATTTCAGGCCATTGCCCGTGGCCAGAGAGTAAGCCCTGCAAGCCTTCCAAGGCATCTTGGATAGCTTTTCTGTACCTACTTGAAGAAGTCTTCCTTGCAATAGACACTTCCTGATCTGGAAAAGCAACGTTCTGCCAGCTGCATCTGGCAATCTGCACACTTGAGGCAAGAGCCGTGCCAGTGTCGATCAAGGACTTTCAGGATGAACTTATCCAAGATGTGCTGGTTGCAGCCAGCACACTGGGGGATCTCTGGCAAAGGAAGAACAAGAACAATATCAGCAACAAACAACAAAAATTTCTGCAAAGCATGAAAAGACTGCAGCGAGCAGGCACATCTGATTGGTGGAGGGGGGGCTGGGGGTGTTTAATTGTGCACAACTAAATACGAAGGAGGTACTTGAAGCAGATAGGAATGAGGTTGTAAGTTTAACCCTGTTTTGTTATTTCCAACTTAAGATTGTCTTTCCCACATTTTTCCTCCAGTGGGAACATGCAAGAACCTGAACATGAAGATTACCTGGGGTGTCCATTTTTAACAGGGGAAAATGTGCAAGGAGTTGGTTTCCTCCAGTTTTTATTATCCCCACTCGCTGCTATTAAATTCTAAGCAGAACAATTCCACGCCATCACCTCCACCACCATCATTTCCATGTAAATTCTAGTATAATATTATGTCTGGGGAAGATTCAAAGGCTTCTATACTCTTACAAACGAAACTGGCCTATTTAAAGTCAACATCTTGCTTATTTTCTATCATTTAAAAAGCTTGGAGCCAAATGACCACCTTCCTTGCTTCATAACTAAAAGGTTCCTAATCTAGGTTCAGCCTGAGATTCATTTATTTAGCCTTACCCAATGTAAGACCTAATGCAAATTCCATAATCTATTCATCCATAAACCACTGGTAATTTTTAAACATTTTAGGCTCTGCAGCTAGAAAAGCCCAAATTTTGTACTCAAACTGTCAAATTTGGGAGGATGTAAAATGTATTGATGCAGATCACAAAAATTAAAGAGCAAGACATCAAGGCTAGGGTAAAACTGGAAAACAACACATACCGATAATAACTAGGAACAAGAAATTCATGTAGGAGCTATGTTCCTTTTCCCCAACTTAGTTTGTGATTTCTTTTCTGAAATTAAAGTTCAGATTTCTGCCAAGGCAAGCCATGTTTATTAAGGATATTCAGAAACTTCTATAATAAATTCTTATCACTTTGGATCATGACCAAAATTCAAAAGAAAAGTAACATTACAGTTTGGACAGTTTCAGTTTCTTGGCATCTAAAATCATTTCTGTTTTTCTTATCATATGGAACTGTGGACAAACATTTTATCAAATCTTGATTAAAACAGTAGCCAGACAAAATGATTCACAGCATAACACTCAGCTTCATAGTTTATCGGCTAGCCATTAAGGCTACGCAGCATTGTAAAAATATGCAGATTTTTAGTTTTCTAAACTAGAAAATGCTTAAAAGAAACTAGAAAAAAACACGTAGATTCAATGATTTAGTAAAAACAAAACTATTGCTTTTAAAGGCTTTACGATATTTTAATATTGTCATGACAACTTTCTTTTCAGAGGTTTCCTATTTTTTACTAAAAAAAACCCCAACCCATATTACTAAAGGGTTTTTTTTTTGTTCCTTCTTTCTATCATATTGATCATTCTGCTCTGAAGAATTAGTTGTAGTGACTATACTAATTATCCATCTTCTAAAATCCTTTCCAAACTCAACCCACTCTTCCTCCCTCCCTCCCTTTTGGCACAATTCCTTGAGTCAAACTGTGGAAGCCAGACATTTAATAAGTGACAGTTCTACTGCAATTATTTTCATAACCCAGGAAACTTCACCTGCTAACTTCTGTCTGATTGATTTCTGTCACTAAAAGCTAGCAAGAAATGGTTTGGAAAGTATAGTACACTAAGTTTGGATTCCATCCTGAGAAATCCTGTAATTAATGGGGTGATCTACATTTTCCCAAGAAAGAAGTAAAAATGGAAATAATATTACTATAGAACTACAGAACATTTCACCATAGTGGGGAAGGCTGTGACTTGTGTATCTGTTCAATCCAGATAGCAAATAAGGATGTTGACTTTCATGGCTTCATCTATCCAGTTTTATATGCTTCGTGTTTAAAACAGACTTGTACTCAACAGCTCTTCGAATAAAGGATTGTCCTACGTAAACTAGACACAAGGATGCAAAGTGCTGGATGAGATGCAGCTGGGGTCAAAAGGCTGCTATGTGGGTAAAGCCTGGCAGAAGATGTCATTTTGCTGAATTTTGACCACTATCCTGCTTGCATGACCAAGTTCAGGTTTATTAGTCAGATCAGTAAAATACAGTCTGGTTGTGCACTCTGTCTCTGCGTGTGTTGTCTGTCTGCAAGAAAAATAGGTAGGGTATACAGCTGCAAAGAGCTAGAAGTTCATCTCTCTTTCTATCTTCCTATAGTTCCAAATAATGAAAGATGTTGTAAAGTCTGCCAGGGGAGATTTCCCAGTAAAAGCAATGCACATAAATTCCAATATATATGTCTGAAAAAAGATTGATTTCTGAAGAAGCAAACCACAGAGCAGATACGGTGTGATATTTCAAGAGATATTTATGCATCAGAGGCTTCTTTCTATTCCTTCCCCCCTCTTTGGCCTCCTTTTTCTGGGAAAAGAGACAGTTTTGGAATGGCAGGAGACTGACTCACAATAAATATCAAGAATTTGTTGCCCTTTTATGCCCCTACAAAACCTCTGGATGGCCAAAAAGGGATCTCAGAGGCTTTTGTATTGAAATCCCAAGGAAACAGAACCATTGATTGGCTTATTTACTGAGGAGTTTTCTATTGCTGGAAAAAGATTCTAATTCTCAAGAGGATGAATCGTGAACCCATTGTTACCCCCACCTTCCTTTGGCTGGCTGAGATAAAAAGCAGGGTCCCAAGGAAGAACTGACCAGACCAGGATTTGAAATCAGGTTTCAGCAATGATAGTAGGAGAGCATTCTCCTGAGGTTAGCAGGCTGACTGAAAGAGGCGGTGTTCAGATATGTGAACAACCGGTTCTCTGTGTGGATGCTGCTTCCAGAAATCCATTCTAGGCCTGGGCAACAAAAAATTAGCTACCGGTTCTGCTGAACTGGTACGAACTGGCTGGATCCCACCACTGGCTGTGTCCTTTCTCAGCTCTGCTTTGTCTTCCAACTCCTGCCATTAATTTCTTCCCCTAAGATGGCTGCCTAATAAAAGCCAGGCCTTTTGTGCATTTTCAACATCTATTATACAGGCCTGCTTGTAGACTATGGAGGGTTTTGCAGTGCATGAAAAGCTGCAAGAGAGATGGAGAGTTTGACTAAGAAAAGAACTGTATATACAATGGGAAATTATGCCAATATGATATAACCTTCATTCCTAAAACAGTTGTCTCTAGCTGCAAACATAGGCCTCAGCTATTGGAAAGTGGCCATTTTCAAAAACATACAAACATGTTATAGAGACTTTTATGCCATGGTTTTCATACTAAATACAGTTCACCGCCAGGTCATGCTTTCTACCCCACATGTAATTTTCTCAACACTAGTTTATTTTCAGTGATAAAAAAGACAGGGAGCAAGCATGGGAATCACACACCAAGATCTCTGGACCTCAACTGTCCATCTGCATTACTGGAAGGGTTTGGGGTTTTTTTGCCTTGGCAATAAGGAGGATTGACGGATTGCAGCTCATGCTGAAATTTTTAAAAAGTGCTTCTTATCCCCTTCCACAGTGTTGGCATTTAAGCTTTGAAGAAAAAGAACATCCATTAATGCCAACTGCCTGCCTTTTTTCCCACCAAAATTTAATTGCTCTTATGAAAGGAATGTTAAATCTGATTGGAAAAGAGAACATTTTCTCACAGTCAAACATTTAATTCTCCTCTTTTCACCCTTTCTAGCACACCTCTCTCCCTCAAGGATGTATTTTTGAGAGCACACTCCTTGTGTGCTCTGACACACATATCAGCTAAAAGAACTGTTTTCTGCTCCAGTTTGGAAACTTACATGGGCTACTTGCTAGAAAACCTACGCGGAGTTTAATATCTGCAGATAACTCAAATATTTCGATTCAGTTTAATTCATTCATCTGATCCACAAAACTTGCAATAAAATATTATCTACCATTAAAAAGTTCAAAATAAAAATTCTGAAAGAACAGGAAATTTCTGGATGTGAATATATGCAATAAATTTTTTTTAAGTGAGGATATATAGCTTATTCCAGATGAAATTGGCCTGTTATTATATGTTATTACAGAGGCCATAAAGGTTGCCTCTGAAGTGCTGTATGCAGGCTATAATGCACAGGTCTTTTTAAATAAACACATTTGCATTATTCTTCCTCATATTAGCCTTTTCTTCTTGGTTTCATGATAATCCCTGAACCTCTTGCTTTTCTTTTCAGTGGATTTTCCAGCCGTTTTATACCTGAGACTCCTCTCTAACCAGTTTTATAAGAAAAAAAAAGTGAGAGAAAGGCATTTATAATATAAATGAATTCTCTATCTTATTACTGTAATTCAATTTTTAAAGCTGTCCAATTGGCAAGCAATTGAAGTCATGAAGAATGAAAGAACAAGCCAAATAATAAAGCAGGGGCAAGGGAGAAACTTTAGTCATCGCAATCCTCCAAATCAGATTCCAATTCACATTATGAAGTAAACTGAGCCTCTCCTCCTCCTGAATTTCTGTATTAATTAAACTTTCATCTCAACTTTTCCTGTAAGGAATCATCCCATTTTATTTTCACTACAATTTAAAAATGAGCTAGTCTGAGAACAACTGCCTTCCCATAACCTTAGATCAAGGTTCTTCAGTTAAATTGTGGTTTTAGGACAAACTGTAGTATCCTGATTTGCTTATATTGCTGGGCCATCATGGATGGATTCACGCACCAGATTGTGCCAAAACCAAGCCTCTTAAAGGTTTCAAGTTCAGTTTTGAAACTAATCATTTCATGCCGCAGATTCAATACAATACATAGGTATCTATCTACACAATGGTTGTTACCTAGTTTAACCCATTTGCAGTGATCTCATATATAAATGTCATGACTTATAACCTTGCATCAGGATGTAAGTATGTAAAGAAAAACTTCCATGATAGCATCATGGTGCATGTATTTCATTTCAGCACTGTTTATTATTATTACTGTTATTTCAAATGCTCATTAGAGAATATCAGGTGTTTATGATTTTACAGAGCACTTTTCCGTAATTTCAATTTTTTAGAATCCTGATTAGCAGTGAAGCATTATGTAA